TAAGTCGACCTAATAAACGACTACTACGTACACCAATTAATATAGGTTGTATACTTTTACACTATAGATAGTAGTACCAGCTTATTCTACTCTACTGGTTAACTTGTGTTCAGGATTACTGACGAGGAGTGGAATTCTCCGAAACTAGTATAATCCAATAACACACGTTGATCAAAGTGTAGATTGAACTGGACCTACCTTGAACTTAGACTTCGAGATTAAACAGTTTTCGGAATACTAAGTTTATTTATTATGGGTTATCGTTCCTGAGACTAGAGTTCTTGCAACAACGGTAACCATACGTAACGTGTTCAAAAAAAAAAGTTCATATTACCTTAATTTTTGGCATCTTTCTTTGGTTCGGCAAAAGTCTTATTTGATCTGCAGAGAAAGGATAAACAAAAATCACAATTTCATTGACTTATTGTGGGTAATTTATAAATAGCATAATGGTCTATAAAAAACAGATTTTCCAAAATTATCGAAAAGAAATATAAGTCCCAATTTTCAAATTTGTGCTAAATTAATGCGCTATGTGCGTTTACCCAACATATATTTTTAGCATAATTTGAGGGCGCTGAATTCAAACATCTATGTTGGACATCTGACAAATGTCATTTTAGGAGAGAAACTGACGGCCAAAATAAGTAAGAATATTAATAAAAATAATTTTTGCAACAAAAGAACTGATGTGAAATGTTATTTTGGAGGTTATAACCTTTAGCACTGTTGTAACCCGTAGAAGTATTATAACTTGTTGAAATGTTACAAACATTAAAAACTGGCCGCTTATTTTGTTTTACCCACCATCATGCCTCAAGTTAAACGAAAAACGCGGTCTGGCTTATTATTGAATGAAGATTTACTGTAAAATTCTTATCAATGCTAGAAGTTTAACTACTAGTTTGGCTGCCAATTTTGATTTTATTCCTTTAAGTCGTATGCTCAATCACTTTTTTGGCTGCACCTTTTTTCACACCTTAGGTGTTTTTGATAAGATTATCATATCCCCATGTTATACGTGATGTAGAACTGTTTAATGCAGGCCCAATAAAGCTAAACTGCCATATTCATACATTTTCAGATGTGACAGAGCATCTGTCACTAGTTGCAATAATTCTAGACAACAACATTTTAAATAAATAGACGAAAATACAAAACTGTTAGGAGAAGGATCATTTCATGTATTTTAACAGTATATGTATGTACTTAGAGACGAGGCCCGGCATGACCAGGTGGTTAGGGCGCTTGACTCGCAACCTGAGTGACGCGGGTTCGGATCCCCGTCCCACCAAACATTCACGCTCTTTCAGCCATGGGAGTGTTATATTGTGACGGTCAATCCCACTATTCGTTGCCTAAGAGTTGGCGGTGAGTGGTGATGACTAGCTGCCTTCCCTCTAGTCATTCACTGCTAAATTAGGGACGGATAGCGCAGATAGCGTTTGTTTGTTATTAAACACAAAGCTATACAAAGGGCTATCTGTGCTCCGCCCACCACGGGTATCGAAACCTGGTTTCTAGCGTTGTAAGTCCGCAGACATACCGCTGTGTCACTGGGGGGCAACAAACTTAGAGAGACACTTCCAATAGAAAAAAAAAAGCTTATCATGTGTGTAGAATGTTTTATCTATTGTTTTTTGAACCACTCTTTATAAGCTTCAAAATTAACCATACATTATTACTTTTGATGGAAACTAAAGTTTTTGCCATTTTTTGTCATCGGCCATATTGGATTTTGCCATTTCATCCCTTATAAAATTTTTTTTTTCAGATGTCAGATACATTTGTTGGATTCACTACCCTCAAATTATATTAAAAAAGATATTGGACGAAATACTAAACAAATTCTTGTATCTTCCACTTTTTTTTGGAAAATAGGACAAGACCACAAGCGAAAAATATCTAAGCCTATTCTTTCCTCAATCATGATGTCAGAAAAACATGTAAGTTCAATAAGTCTTGATATAAAATGATAAAAACCATATGACCCTAAGCACTTTCGAAAGGTGGACCTTTTTCTTCAAGGGCAAACTTTCATTAATAATCATCCTGTATTTAAAAAAAAATGTCTGAAAACACGACAAATATATTTTTTTTGTTAAATGAAATGCCTTCTTTATACATATTTAAATCTACTTCCTTTTTAACATTTAAGTTTTTCTGAGCCAATAATTTGTGGATTGTACTAGTCTAAAAGGAGCCCAAAGATGACCCCGGTGATATAATGCTAAAATCCGGAGTTCCATACTCCGCAGTGAACACAGCACAGATAGCCCATTGTGTAGCTTTGCGCTTAACAAGGACACAAAAACAAAGGATAAAGAGTTTATACTACTATGAATTAATGTAAAACCTTTACCGAATAAATACTTTTCGTAAGGCAGAAAGTGGTAAGGCCCGTGGAATTCCCGTAATCCCATCGCCAATACATCTTCGCGCAGCTTATTGGCCAGCCTTCGTACAACAAGGTCTTCGTTCTTCCGTCCATACCGCAATTGGTGTTTCTTTAATTCCTCTAGATCTTCAAACAATCTCCTCTCTAATTGGTTCCTACTGAGAAATTAGTTATTAGTTAGAAAGCTGTTTGTCTCTAAGACAAGTTTGCTGTTTTCACACATTTAAACTATTATTTGACAAAAGTCTGTGTGTGTGTCAGCTTATAACTGGTGAACTGCTGAACCGATTGTCACCAAACCTGGCATGTACCCTTAGAGCACATTCTCGGGAGCTCTATTTCTTCCCTGTGCGTTGAACTGGCACATCAACCAGTATATTTACAATAACAAATACTTGTACCTTTTAAATATTGACCTAATGCGGTGGACCTTTCTGACGTCATGATACATGCCTTAAAAGTTTAGGAACTGAGTGCATTTTTTTCTTTTTTTTCCGCAGAGATGGCTACAGATGACATTCGCCATCACTTAGCCTGGCGTAGCTTGATGGTTAGGACACTTAACTCGTAATCTGCGGGTCGCGGGTTCGAATCCCATCACCAAACACTGCTTGCCCTTTCAACCGTGGGGGCGTTGTAATGTGACAGTCAATCCCACTATTAGGTTAGAGTAGCCCAAGAGTATGCGGTGGGCGATGTTGACTAGCTGCCTTCCCCCCTAGTCTAAGAAGGTTAACTGGGGCAGAACGGTCCGGAACGGCGTTCCGCCTCTTGGGGATTCAAGCCAGTAGCGTTCCTGTTTTTTTTTCTGGTTCATATGTCAAAGTGGATTACAAAAGGGAATTCTACTTTCTTCAAAATCCCAATTTCACTAATGCTAAACTAGGGACGGCTAGGCCTAGAGCAGATAGCCCTCAAGTAACTGCGCGAAACTGAACAATTCGTGATTCATTTCTATTGCTTTGGAAAAGACGAAACGTTTAACAAAATATTACAGCCAACTTTTGTGGAATGTTTTATCGATCTGTTAACAACGATCAGCTGCTAAATTTAATCTTAATCAATTTTCTATCACTGTAAAACATGACTGCAGCATTATTGTCAGATCCTGCATGGTCGTGACACTAATACTTCAATCTGCGCACGTGGTCATACATTTGAGGTCATGACACTAGTACTGCAACTTTCAAAACTGGTCCCATGCACTTTATATCCAAGTAACATATATTTTCGAAATACGTACGTTATTTGTGTGTAACACTGATACGTAAACAAAAGACGTGGTTGTATAGCAGAGGCGGCTGGTATGGGTATTAAAAACTTTAATTAAGATAAAGTATAAGAACAACGTTTCGACATTCTTAGGTAATCTTCAGGTTAACAAACAGGTGTCTTTGTTAACCTAATAATGACCTAAGAAGGTCGAAGCGTTGTTCTTGTACTTTATTTTAATTAAAGTTTTTAATACCCAAACCAGCCGTCTCTGCTATACAATTTTACTTCAAGTGGGTTTCTCGTCATCATTAAACGACGTGGTTAAAACAACTTGAATTCAAATTTTCTCATCTATAAAAACAAAAAAATGTGGTCTTTCTTTGAAAGATATTGTAATACGATCTAAAAGTACTTACAAAAGTGGCCCGCCTATTAAAATTATTAAGACATTAAACAAGCGTGTATGACCAACATGATTTATCTATACGTTGTGACACGAGAGAAAAAATGATCCACTTATTGATTTTTAATTATTGTAAAGAACTGGACCAAAGGTGCCCATGTCAGGAAAAATGTGACTTAATACGAAAAAAATAAATTATTTACATATTAACAAAGTAAAAGTTTTGTTATCCGCCCTTTTCATACCCAGAAAATTTAGATATATCCAAATACAAACGCCCATTGTATCTTAGTGGCGCTGCTGTGGCTTTGTTCTTTCCCGCCAGCAAGCTTCAGTTGTTAGCCGTCTACGCTGGGATTCACATTTCAAATATTATACTAATAATTGTTTTTATACAGTTTAAAGCTTTTTTTACAACATTTATTATTGCTTAAAGCTGTTATTCTTATAGATGATGTAGAAATAGTGTACTTTAGGTCGCAAAACCTTTCCTGTAAAATATCGTAAGAATTTTCGCCTATCCGACACCGCCTCGGTCTGGTAGATGCTGGATAATACCGTTTTTACTGTACTCATATTGGTAATTAAAGGTTAAAGAGGTTGGTTAAATTTGCCTGAAGTTTCCAGTTAAACATTTACTGTAATTCTAATAAAACATCAACGAATAACACTATATTCAAAAATCTTAACGAGTGACAAAAGCAACAGACAATTCATTCATTAAATATTTGTATTTAAATACATCTTTTACATTAAAATAGTTTCAATACACTTAATTACATTACAGTAAAAGAACTCCGCTAGAGGACGCTTCTGAAAAAATATGAATAATAAATCTTTGATAAATCTACTCAAATCAAGCACTATTTGTAGGAAATGTTACCACTTTAATATTCAGAAATCAGTTATATTTAAAATTTTAATTTGAAAGCTGAGAATATAATAAGAGGCCGGGTGTAGCTTAGTAGTTAACGTGCCGGGCTACTTAATAAAAGACCTAAGGTTCGAGATCGCAATATGCCGCTAAACAACGTCTGCAGTATCATCTGTAGGCGCGTTATAAAAATTACAGTCAATCCTGCTATTCGGTTGTCCTTCCCCTGGTCAGTTTTAAGTTAGGAAAGACCATGTCTGAAGCCTGGTGTCTCTGGTCTGGTCATTTAGCCTAAATAAGGTACCATTTACACCGAGAACGTTAAATGGTATTCACAAAACATAAGACATAAAACATAGCTTTATAAAACAGAAGCACTAATAAGGTAAGGTACATAAAGTCAGAATCAACATTCTAATCATCACATTAGATTTATTTGTTTTGTTAAATTTCGTGCTAAGCTATTCGAGAGCTTTTTGCGCTTGCCGTCCCTAATCTTAAAATGATAGGCTAGAAGGGAGGCAGCTAGTGAACATCACCCACCGCCAACTCATGGGCTACTCTAATCAAATAGTGGCATTTGACACTTTCTCTTATAACGCATCCACGGCACCAATTTGCGGAGCGCGATTTTTTTTTTATTATTGGTAACAGAGTACGAAAATGGAACCTCAGATTCACAGTTCGTCACGCTAGACACTGAGTTGCGCTCGGCCAATAGATTTATATACATATAGGCTAATTTAAGAATTCTCAGGAAAGTATTAAAATATTTCAGGGTTGCTGGAGATACTGGTATTATAATAAGAATAAAAATGTTGTTATAAAAGTGTAAAGCCGAAATGTTGACGTCAGTAGATATTTCACTTCCGGTGTTAGTGGTGGTTAAAGTTTGGTTCAAAAAACAAACACTAAAAACTGACATTTGTCAGAGCGAAGATTATTGTGGTTTGATCTTGCGGATATGATTCGATATTTTGTTTATATGCGCACAGGAAGTCTTACAACTCGCATGTTCCTTTAAACTTTAAAGAATCAAGACTAACAGCACGACTTTTACCGATTATCAAATACCCAGGAAAGGATTTATTAAAATATTAACTACAATTTAAGTTTTCTTCCTAGGTAAACTCGCACAGCACGCACTAACTCGAAATTTTTCGTGTATATGACAAGACAAAGCCAATGGAATTCTAAAAGGAATAAACATTGTGACCTGATAATGTAGTTCCAAACTAAAACAATATAATTCTCATGTAGTAGGTTAAAACTGTGTTATCTCTTTAAACAATCGTTTCTAGGCCTATTTCTGTCTATTTAAAATTTCTTTGGAATCTTATTATAATGGGGCCTGGCATGGCCAGGTGGTTAAAGCGCTCGACTC